AGCAGTAAAAAAGAATTAAAACACATATTGAAGATGAGGATAAACAAAAGAAATTTTAAATAGTCTCTTTTTTGAATTAATCATTTCTGAGCAGACGAGAAGATCATAGTAGTCTAAAATGAGATGTTCGATCTGGTGGTAGTTGACAATCTAAATCTGCTCTTTCATATTATTGTGTCACTGAAACCAACAAATTTATTTTCATCACTGCTGCACGTAGAAATTGTCATCTTAAAAGATTTTTGACAATAATCAAATTCGCCAACAATATTATAAAGCTAGTCAACCATGCCTTTGTTCATATTAAGAACGTCAATTTTATCTGAAATTTGAATAATAAGATGTCTCTATGTTTAACTATGAATAAACCATCGCAAAAAAATGTTTTCTGAAATCTTGCTACTAGCATAGATGCAACTAATTCTATAAAGAAAAACGTCATGCAAGTTACTCACTTGACTTTCACTGGAAATTGTGTCACTGAATATTTCTTCAAAAAAGATAATAAAAGACTTAAAGTTATCACAGAATCGATCACTTTCGCACTAATAGATTTACAGCATCAAATTGGCTTTTTAGTATCTAATTACATGGAAAACTTCAATTTCTTTTTATTTTCAATCTCATTTTTTCTTGTATGAAAATCATAAATTTGTAAAACCGAATTAAGTCTCAATTACAATCCAAATAAAGGATACACTCATAAATCTGAGTAAAGTGTTGCTTTAGCTGATTTACAGAAATTCATCAATGATAAATAGTTATAGGGTTCTAAAATAGAATACAGCATATTGAATGCACAATATACTAGTATTGTTGAGAGTACGGTAATCAAAGCAGTATTGATGACGAAAGACAGTGGTTGTTATAATTTGAGCTTACATGACATTATTGTAAAAAAACAATTTATTGCTGATTCCCATGTAGAATGAGGCATCAAAGACAATGTAACTTGGACAATATGATTACTTATATTAGAACAGTAATTAGGTACTGCTATAGTTTGACCTAAAGATATTTGATACTATGAAAAAAAAATGAAATGAGAAAAAATAAATAAGCAAACCTTGTGCATATGAAAAGAAGATGATAGAAAATAAAGATAGTACAAGTCTCATGATATTTGCGCAACTCATAAGTAAAATAAATATCCAAAATGAACTTTTTCTTCTGTTCTCTAAATGACTATTTACAGAATTTGTCTTTTAATTTGATGAACAAAAAAGTTTTTTCTCCCAATGAAAAATCAGAAACTGAAATAATATTAACGAAACTTTTCGATGAAATTGATTCATTATCAAAACATTTCAATGTTGTCGTTATTGGTTTCATATTGTCTTCGAGTGAATAATAATGTGTTTACTTTCTTCGCCAAAGTAAAATTATAACATACCTACAATAAAAATATGCTCTATCATGAATTTATCGATATTAGTTTGTTCACTGCGGCAAAATAAACTTGTGGGATGTGACTATCATCTATACTCATATCCACGCTGTACACATCCATTCCATTAATGAGATTATCATAAATATTTTCAAATTTCTTCCCAAAATCAACTTCAAAACTACTAGATAATTCGAACAAAGAATACAATAAAATCTCAATCTAATATTATATTTAGAAAAGCTACCAGATACAATTGTATTTTGCTTGAATTTCAATCGACAGAAAACGTCACCACCTAAAAAAAACCTGATACAAAACTATGGAAAACAATTAGATCCGATTTTATGTACAACTCTCTATTTAGGTAAGGGTATGGATGTACCATTGGGTGTAGATGTTGGATCAATAATAAATCCACAACCACTGATACACCCACACACTTTTAGGTTCAAACTAATTGTTTATCTGTACGTGTTCATAAATGAGTTTTCTTTGTTTCTTTTTTCAAACATAGGCCAGCGATATATAATACACTCATATTGTGCACGTCCACAAACACTGGAGACATAATGTGGTAAAGAACATATATACTTGTTGATTGAAAATTATTATTTGAGTCAGGAGAAAAATTTATCTCACAGATGTAGTAAATAAGAATGCTTCGAAGACGTTCAATTATAATTAATCGTACGATTAAAAATAACTATCATAGTAGCAAAATTAAATTCAAATCTAACTATCGTGAATGGATCAAGTTTATTTTTATCGGCTTTAATTTCGTTCATGATTGGTTTATGTACAATAGTTCTCCCAATTTTACAGTAAGACGTTTCTGTGCAACAACGAGAATAAGATTAACAAGATGCACTCCTTTTACGACAACAATTAGAACGTCAAGCAGAAAATCTACAAAAAGAAACTATATTGGCAACATATCTCGATGATGTTTCGAAACTTTTATTATTAGAAAACCAAACAAAAAGTTTGATCCAAATTCGAATGAAAACATTAACAACCCTTTGGCAGTTGGATGCAGAGAAGAAAAAATATTTATTGGTATTTCTTTATGAGAGCGAATTGATTTATTATTATCTACTACAGCCGCATGTGTCTTTATTAAAATTAACTGATGCAGATTTTAATGGAATTTATTTTAAAGAAACTATTGAAACTAAATGTTCATTTTCATGTCTCAATTTATATGGTATCTATTTATCGAATTCATCATGTATTGACTGTTTCATCGATCGTTCAAAGTTTTCAACCTCAGCTATATATAAGGCATTATTTTTTCATACACTGTTGACACAGACTTGGTTTAAATTCACGTTTCTGAATAAAACTAATTTCAGTAATACGAAGTTTTTCTATACGTACTTTTTAGAAGTATCATTGATAGAATGTGATTTTACTGGTGCTCTTTGGACTGAAAACAGTATCGATTTTACCAGTACAAATCTATCAGGAGCAATTATATCCAACGAACAGTTAGGCAATTCTACATTATATAACTGTATTCTACCAAATGGAACATGGGCACCTATACGAACGGATAATCTGGTTGTGAATGGTGATGCCGAACAAAGTGTAAGTTTAAATCGAATCTTTTTCACTTATTACTTCGGCGATCGTTCAGCTCGTCTCAAATTTTTATTGTATTTTCTTTCCTAACCAAAATTATTGTCAATCGATAAATATGTATCGATCGAATATTAATATTCCAGTATGAAGTCACTCTATCTACACATAAGTGGCTATACTAATTACAGCGTCAAAGAATTACATATCTTATTCAAAAGTAGATAAATATGTTTCAATTACAAAGTTGTTGCGCTTATTTTTTTTTCCTGAAGTTCAACAAAGAAATAATGGCTAAATCAGTTGTTCATTATCGAAACAAGATGAAATAGATGCAACAATCTGAGTCGACCCTAATTATTTATCTCATTGGTCTTATAATCCTATCACGATGAAAATTGAGTAATAATACAAATTCAAAATGTCTAAACAAGGAAAAGATACCGTTTGTAATCTCGTATGAAAAGATATTGTTTGCATGTCTATTGTAAAATAGAATGGATATAGAAAAATGCAAAGTTTCAAGAAATTATTATGGTTTTATTTTTAGATGAAGTCAATAAAAAGAATGTAACGTCAGAATACATACAGTACATTTTAAATCATGACCACTAATCGATAAAAGATCAAATATTATTGGTCATGGCTAATATGTTTTTCTAGTATTATTCTATTTTCTAGTGTACAAATAATGGTCCCAACATGATGAAAGGATGGAATGTTGCAAATGGTGGATACATCAATGTGTTTATCTATAGTACTCAAAATCAAATAGAGAATTTCGGTAAATGTTATTTCCAAGTCACATCATTGAATACACCCAGATGTATTGCATTTATGTATCAATTTGTGGAACTTGATAATTTCTCTCTATTGATTTCAAGTCATAATGCTCATTATGCAACATCGGCTAATTTTCAATGTTTTGGCAAGCAATATGTCTATATTGAGTTACATTTCATTAATAAAAGTAGTTTACGATATGAAGGCACTTATAAAGGTGAAATATAATCAGACAATTTCTCTCTTATGTTCTATTACTTTTTTTTTATCTTTATTTTTTAGGGACTCGCAATGGATAACATGTTTAATCTTTAAAAATTACCGATATAGTTTATTCTGATGTTCATCATGTTCAAATTTTGGTCTCATTTGTATCTATGATACATAGTAATGATAGTGATGCAACTATTAACGAACACTATTGTATATTCGACAATGTGAAATTTTCAATTATGAAACCATGATACTTACTACAACATGACGAATAATATTAAACTAATATTCTTTCATGTTATTTTAAGGAACAATCACAATCATATTTTTAAGAGGGAATTCTTTCGAATTTATTCAGCTGTTTATCTTTTTTCTGTACCTCCAAGATCTATTTTCGAATTTAAAATATGGTCTCTAAGTAGATGTGACTATGTTTTTCCATTAAATGCTTGATGAACAATGCTTTTATATAGCTAATACATCAGTTTTATGAAACACGATTGAAAATGAATATTGCAGCTTAGAGGAAAAAAGGGTCTCTTTCTCTCTCTCTCTCTCCCTTCCTCCCTGGCAGATCCGACAGCCATGTCGCATCCTATTATAGGGGGTATTCACTGTTCTTTGCATAGTTTTTAGCAAATAAGTGCAAGTAAAGACTTAAAGATGCAAAATGATTAAGAATTTCAGGCACTGTCAGAATATAATATTACGTTTTCTAAAATACATGTTTACAGTAAAGATATGATAAGAACATTGACTTCAGATCATTTTTTTAGTCATATTACTAGTTTGCATACATCGTTATAAGGTTATCTTTTCTGCAGCGTGCTACAATAAAACTTGAAGAAAGACAAAAACAATGAAATAAAATGTCGCGAATACTTTGTCAATATTTATTTTGTTCGATTTATCTCTCTACCACACTATTTCATTCTTTATCAATCTTAACGAGTTGTGCAAGCCATTGCATTCAAATAGTCGTATTCTTCAACTGCTCGTGGTTGTTTTCACCTAGATCATCATATTCCAGAACGCTATGTCGCCACTCTACTATGCACTCAACAATCCGGTCTTCGTCAATTTTGCTTTTTATGCAGCGGCATCAACTATCAAAATGATGGCCATGTCACTATTGACTAGTAGACAGCGATTTGCTAAGAATGTAATAAAATTAATCTTTTTGTGCACGTGTTCTTGGTTGTTTTGATGATTGTATTTCAGGCATTCTCCAATCCTGAAGATATTGCGTTAGGAAGTGATAAACAGGCCAAGGTAACAATATCAGATCCAGATGTTGAACGAGTCCGACGAAATCATTTGAATGATATCGAAAATATTGTACCATTTGTCGTGATTGGTAGTCTCTACGTCGCCACGAATCCGACTCCAGCTATAGCTCTCTGGCACTTTCGGCTCTTTTTCTTCTCTCGTGTATTTCACACGATTGCTTATCAGGTAGAGTAATGTTTACTGTGGGATGCAAACATTATTCGTTTTTGTTGTAGTTACCCTTGCCACAACCATCGCGAACTGTGGGATATATGGTTGGCTATATAACGACTCTCTCGATGGCTGTTCAATTGTTCCGAGCTCTCTTAAAATAAATCAAGAGTCACAGAGACAAAAAGACTATTTTTATCTTCGGTCACTTTAATGTAACCAGTGGGTGATACAAAATAATTCAAGAATATCGAATCATATTATAAGAAACCTTCTGCACCTAAGATACTAAAGTCTTTTCTTATTGAAAATAGCTAAGTCTGAATCAGAAAAACCATATTGATTTTTAAGATTACAAATCTGAATGAAAAAACGCTTAAACCAAAATACTTGCCGTAAAAGATATAGAAAGGCCGAAGAAAAATTTAATATCATCATTATATGGGTATGGATAAGGGTGGTGTGTGTGTAGATGACGAGGAGAGACCCATATCCACATCCACATCCAAGGGAGAGGATGTTGCCACACCGCCTGTCTAGATCAGTCACTGAACATAAGCGAAGTTTTCAAGCACATAATTGATGATGTATGCTCGCATCGTCTGTCATACTTAAATTGACACAATGTTTATGTGATGCTGCTACGAAAGAAAAGAAAGTCATCAAAAAGAGTAGGGTGCGAGTATGGGTGCAGGTTCTTGTCTGAGTGTATATTCATTCAGCACACATCCACAGCCCTCTATCTTTTATCTTGGGATCATTTGCGAACAGATGTTTTGACGAAACACTAATGATTCCTCCATCCGGAATGAAATTATAAGAATCGTACCCACATCTACATTCTAAGAGCACCGTTATTAAAAAGTATCCTTCGTATCAATATTCAAAATCTTAAAACGAGCGACTGCATCTGATAATTCGATTTTAATTACTATCTCAATACGTCGTGAACGAAGAAGTGCTGGATAGGTGCAATTGTGTAATATGAATGTTCCGACACGTACACTCACGCCAAACTTGTCGTTTGTTCGTATTGCATATGGTGGATTTATCGCTATCGACACCATCCAGCCCTCTTGTTATCGGTACTGATAGTAAAATAAAGTAAGAAAAGAACGAAATCATTTTTACACACTAAAGTCTGATAAAATAAATGATAAGAACTTTTCGCTTACACTCTTGTTTTCCACATGTAATGAAAAGGAAAGCGAAACCTTTCGTCAATTTATAAAGATTACTTCAGAGAGCACTTACTATTACATTGAAAAGTTCATTTATGGTCGGCATTAATGTATCTATTTTTTTGACCATTCGGTTTCTTTCATCAAACTGAGATTTCGAAAAACTTGAAGGCTTTGATGATCGAATTAGACATTGTTGTCAGCATTGAAACATAAGGGACGATATGTATATGGTCATCAATCTACTCTACATCTTCATCTTCATGGCACTCAATCGGTCATCGATATGGACATCCTCATTCATATCGTTAAATATCGAAGAGTATGATCGAATAATACAATGGAATGTGTGTTGACATGTGGAGACTGCCGTTTAGGTTTGCATATTAAGATTAAGATGAGGTCTTCACCTATATTCACATACTTTCTCTCTCTGAAAAGGAAATAACCGAGAGTAAAGAAAGAAAACAAGTGATTCATGCTGTGTTAAAGCACATATTTGCTCACCCACACTATCTAGAACGAAATAAAACTTATTCCCACTTTTCTTACTTATTTTACGACTGTCTTTCTCTATATAATACTCAAAGAAACTCTTCTACTGTCGTTAATATTTCAAGAATACTATAATTTGTAATTTTTCGACATCTGATGTCTTACAACGACAAGAAAGATACCTATAGTGAATATGAAAGTGAAGCATTTCAAAAAGCAAAATTTGCAAATGGAATACCAGCTTCCAAACAACCAGTGAACAATGGACAACCAGAAAAAATTCCTGATCGGAATAATCCCGGAAAATTTTGTTATCAGTATGAATTTAAGAACGATTACGGTGAAGAAATTTCGATTCGACTGGATAATGCAGTAGATTACAACGATTCGAATCCAAATCAAGCACCTCACTACAATGCTGGCAAAAAAGGAGAGAAATTAAAGCAACACCATTACTTCAAAAAATATAATAGGTAGACAGACGGCTTCAATGACATAATTCAGAACAAAAACGAATGAAAGGTTTTTTTTTCATTCTTCAATAAATATCTATTTTCACATGGCATCCCATACGAAAAAGAGAATCAACACACTAAACCAATATGTCTCGCAATTGTGGCATTTTGCGACACAATGTGTTATGATGAAGACAAGGCTCTCCCACAGACTCACACCCTAGAAAAACCAACAAATTGTTGTTTGTTCAAGTTAAGATTTTTTTCTAATACTTTTCTTTGTAACCAATAGCTGAAAGTCACATATTACCGACATTGAACCATACAAATGGATGTTATCGAAATTTCAACGTTGCTACGGATTTCCAAATAACAGTTATATTTCTTTTTACATTTGCGTTGAAGACTTAGAGTTCTGGATATTATTATTTCTATACAATCGAATATGTAATCTGATTTCCTGGAAACTTAACCTTAGAATATAGTGGCTAAAGAATATCTCTATGTAGCTGGAGCAAAGTAGAAAAGTAAAACCTATTATGTACAAAATGCGCTTGCTTGGAGAGTATTAAATTTTCTCAATTTTTATCAAAATAATTGATTGTTTTTTTGACATAAAAAATTTTGATGCCAAATACCCTATATGAACGGAACCAACTAAATACCGAATTATGCACATTTTTTAAAAGACCAAATTAGTATAAAAAGTGGCATGTTTGTCTGCTTGAGACTCGGCGAAGAAAGAGATGAAAAACAACGTAATCTTACATACAATCATTCCTTTGCAAGTCATCAATAGACCTTTAGAAACAAAGAAGCATTTAGAAAAAGCAATCATCTTTCTTTCGTTGATATTTCTCTGACTTCTATTCTTTTTCGCTTTGTTTCTGCACTGGACGCTGATAAACTTCCTTGGTTGTGATGGAGTCAGTTACTTCTTTTTTTTGACTTCGTTTTCTCGAGCCGGTTTTGCGTTATTTTGACGAATTTAGAAGGATTTGAGAGATTGAAATTGATTTTACGATGATTCTGTTAGCATACGAGTCTGTTTCGGCTGTTTTCGAGTATGACATACATTCTAATCAATTGTTTAGCTTTACTTCGAAATTATGTCTAATAATTTCGAAAATATGGCATCCTCAAGAACTAATTATACTTGTTAGTACAGAAGTTGAAGAATAACCTCTTAGATATAATCACTTAATATTTTTATATAAATTATATGTTACTCTGTAGTATCCCTTTACAGACTGCAGTGTAATAGTTGAAATTTGAATTCAACTTTTAAAGCCAGTTTTGGGTATTTAATAATCGGATTCACCAATATTTCGACGCGTCATACAGCTGAGTCGAAACTTGTGCCTAAAATTAATTTTTTCTGTCCACTACATGTTAAGCTTACAAGTCTTTCGAACTTTGTGAATATTAATTCATTCTATCATTTCGATTAGCTTTTTTATATTCCTATTCATTGATTCAACAATGTGGGAACAAAAAATTTTCTTGTTCATACTAATGAATTTTCATTGATGCGGTAATATGAAGTTCATCAAGCAAATGAACCACAAAATAATTCGAAATTTCTAGCTTTTTAAAAGAAAGATTTATTTGTGAGATCTGTCAAAATATATACGAATTTAGTAAATATCCCAAACTCTACTAACTTATAAGCAGACCTATAACAATCTACAAGAACCGATCATGATCTACACGGTCTCGCTTGCTTTATGTATGTATTTTCACCCTCATATCATTCATAGAGATGCAATCTGTGTATTGCCGCTCGAATCCTCACGCCTTCCACACTCACTCTCACCTTCAAAAATTAATTTTGAGTGTAAATTTCGGCGCAGTAGCATGACGCGCGGAATTATCTGTGCAGGACAGTGTCGTGCCACGAATAATTGAATACTTGAAACTAACTTTAAAAATTGAATTTAAGTTTCCATTGTTATAATACTACTAATCTGTACCAAAATTTTTTATCTATTCACCATTTCTATTCAAAACAAAATTCAAATTAATACATTATATTCTTCAATACCTAAAGACAATCTAGATTTTGATTATTATAGTGGTTTACAATATAAGTAACTCTTTCTGGTACAATGTCTTCTCTTCTTAAACAATTAACTAAATTGATTTACTTCTGCAATTTGGCAAGTTTTGAATGATTTTCAATACAAAAGAAAAAAATTAATAAGTAATATCTTTGTTATATTTACTCCAATAGAGAACAGAAAAATTTCAGAATATAGTAATAGAATTATTTTATTTGTTCGTATAATAAACTATGGTGAATTCATGTAAGCGATGCTTGCTGGTGTAACTGAGGTTGTTGTTGAGCTCTTCTTTCAGCCTCTTGCTTAATCATCATCTGCTGGATGAGTGTTGGTAAACCTGGATTGAGACTCAATGCATAGGGTAATACTGTTTTAGGTATATCACCAAAATCAACTAGAATTTTGATAAACATAGTATCATCTCTCACATATGGATTACCTTCTTGTTTAATCATTGCCAACGGAAAAAATTTTGGTATACCACTCGCTATGTTCATGTTGGATCTTGGCCGCTGAAAACTATCCGATCTTATATCTGGTCGAAATGAATCGACGATATGTCGGTGTGAAGGAGTTTGATCATACAAACAGAATGTGACTTTGTGATTAAATGGGAATTTGAGTATCGCATCATTCAAACCTCGCATGAGCACAAAAAAAAGTGAAATATGTGTACGACGAGCATTTCCATCGCCATTTAAATACAAACGTGCTCGCATTTTGTAGCCAGTTGGTGATGAATAAAATGGAGGAGAATAGATCGAAGTTTGTCGTTCCGATTCAGCCTCAGCTAGAAATCAAACATATCAAATAGGCAAAATGAATATATA